ACTTATTCTTGGTAGTAGTAGTAGTAGTAGTAGTACTACTACTGCCACTACGACGACGACGGCTACTACTACTACTACTACTACTACTACTACTACTACGACTACTACTACTAGTACGACGACCACTATCACCACGACTACGACTACGACTACTACTACTAGTACCATTATCATTGGTACTACGATTACTACTATTACTGCTACTACTACTACTACTACTACTACGACTGTTACTACTACTACGACGACTACTACTACTACGACGACGACTACTACTACTACTACTACTACTACTACTACTACTACTACTACTACGACTACTACTACCACTACTACAGCTACTATGACGACGACTACTACTACTACAACGACATCTACTAGTACTACTATTACTATTACTACGACTACTACGACGACGACTGCTATTACCACTACTACCACGATCATTTCCACTACCATCACCAGCTTCTTTGTCTACAACGCACGAGCACACCGAGATCAGACATTCCGCGGCATGTGCTTTCGGAAACCGAATGGTCAGACGTAAGCCAACCAGTTGGCTTTCGAAGACTTTGCGGCCCGACCCCGTTCGAAACATTCGCAAAGAAAGCGCCGCAGAAATGGGACATTCCCCGGTGCTGCCGGGAAATGTTTGTTTTTCCCGGGGAATGTCCGATTTTCCCGAGCTAAGTCCTGATCGCCCCCGCAGTCCCCCCCCCCCGCCTGGGGACGTGCGGGTCCGCCCTCCGGGGCCTGGCGCGGATCTGTCGGCGATCCATCCCCGGGTCCAGCTCCAGGCTGCCCCCTTGAGTCGGCCCCCTCTTAACTTCCCCCCCCCACGGCTGATTTCCAAAAGGAGGAGGAGGAGGATGGTCCACATGCAGTGGCTTCACATGCGCAACATGAAGCCTCTTTACATTCAAGTGCTGCGGTCGGTGTTCAAACGCGCTTGGAGGGAGAAGGTCTGCCCAGTCATAATGGACGTAATCTCTGGGCCGAGAATAGAACATTCAGGTCGCGTGATTGGTGAGAGTATTTCAAGCTTTTCTCAGGGTGCTACAACGGCGCCTGAACATGCTGCATGCTTCTGGGTGCAATTTCTCTCACTGGGAGGAAGTGTTCTGCGAACATTTTGGCGTGGCGTCTGGTGGCCGACCAAGCGAGACGAGTGCGCTTCTCTGAGGGATTGGATGCATAGTTTTGTTATGATATCTGCCAGCAGCGTGACCTGCCATGCACGCCCCCGCCGCCCGGGCCTTCTTTTGAAGCGGCTGGCGAGGCCCCGCGCAAGCGACCCCGAGCGCAAACGTACCGTATCGAAGTTTTGCCCGCTTGCCACGTGTGCGACGGTATCGACGACGATATCATACCTTGGGAGTCCCGTGCCAGGAGGTTTGTCATTGTTCGCGATTGCCAGCCTTTGGTGGGCGTGGTAATGGGCGGACACATTCCCGAGGGGCTGGGCAACACAGCGGTGTTTCGCACGATCTGCTACAATGTTGCGAGTTTATTTGGCGCGTGGGCCTCACCAGAGCCATCGGGACCCCGTGGTATGGAAACACCGCAACCACAACGCGAAGGCTGACTACATCGCAAACGTCACCCTGGACGCCGGGCCGACGGGGGCCTGGGTCAACAGCTGCTGCATGGATCGTGGAAACATTGTGGCCAGACGGCGCGTTCCATGTTTTCGCCATGTGTGGCGTGCGTTGGACGAAGATACAGCGTGGTTTTTTTTTGACGCTGAGGCGTTGGCTCTGCAATTCTGCCTTGAATTCATGCCCCACACAATAATTACTGCGTGAAGCCTGGCCTTGCGCCAACCAAATTTCAAGCACCTATCCCAGCTGGCCGCGCGCGGCCTTAGGCTGAACCCACAGCCCAGAAACCAGAGGATGAGGAGGAGGACGAGGAGGAAAAAAAAGGAGGAAGAGGACGACGAGGAGGAAGATGAGGAGAATAAGGAAGAGGAAAACAATGATAACTATGATGAGGAGGAACAATAAGAGGAGGAAACCGAGGATGATGATGAGGAGGATAAGGATGAAAATGATTATGCTGATGATGATGGTGATGATGGTGATGATGGTGATGATGGTGATGATGGTGAGGATGATGATGATGATGATGATGATGCTGATGCTGATGCTGATGCTGATGCTGATGCTGATGCTTATGATGATGATGATGATGACGATGACGATGACGATGATGATGATGATGATGATGATGATGATGATGATGATGATGCTGATGCTGATGCTGATGCTGCTGCTGCTGCTGCTGCTGCTGCTGATGATGATGATGATGATGATGATGATGATGATGATGATGATGATGATGAGCAGGAGGAGGAGGAGGAGGAAGAGGAGGAATAGGAGGAGGCGGATGAGGAGGAAGAGGAGAGGAACGAGGATAACGAGGAGAACGAGGAGGAAGAGGAGGAGGAGGAGGAGTTGGAGGAGGAGGAGGAATTGGAGGAGGAGGAGGAATTGGAGGAGGAGGAGGTGGAGGAGGAGGAGGAGGATTGGAGCAGGAGGAGGAAAACGAGGAGGAAGAAGAGGAGGAAGACGAAGAGGAGGGGAGAGGAGGAGGAGGAGGGGAAGGAGGAGGAGGAGGAGGAGGAGGAGGAGGAGGAGGAGGATAGGGACGGGAGGAGGAGGCGGAGGAGGAGGAGGAGGAAGAGGAGGAGGAGGAGGAGGATATCGAGGAGAACGAGGAATGAGATGAGGTGGAGGAGGATGATGATGATATTGAAAATTCATGCCTCCATGTCCGCCCAGTGCAAGACAGGTAGAGGTTGCCGATTTCACCCTACAGAGGCAGATTTCTATTTCGAACGGGGAAAGAAAGGCCCTGCCGTCTTCAGAGGCCTTTCCGTTTGGGGCGGGGCTAGGGCGAGGGCAGATCCGTTCCACAGCGTTCTTGAACACTCTCAAAGCGTTCTGGAGCGTCCTGAGAAGGCCGCGGCGCCCGATACATCATCCGGAACCGCCAGATCTTAGACGTTCCCGGTTTTTCTTCCAAATATATCTTCGTCTCGGCCTCGTCGTACAGGTGGTGACCCCCCTCGATTGCCAGGAACAGGTGGTGACCCCTGGAAAGAATCCCCCCCCCTGAGTGGCGCTGCCCGAGGAGCGGGTGGCCGCCACGGCCCGGTGCGGCACCGGCCAGTTCGTGGGCGGCTCGCCTCGAGGGGCAGCAGGAGGCCAGCACAGAAAGCACGGCTCTCTTGTGATGGCCGCGCGGATCTTTTGCGGAGGAGCAAGTATCTGCATCGCCTGGTTTGCATCTTCGGGGGACTTGGTTTGCCCCCAGAACTGGTGTCTTTTCTCGTGCCCGACGCGGGTCGATGCGGACACGACGCGGCTTTTGCGTGGATTCGATGCGGCACGGACTCGTCGCGGATAGGGCCGCGACGGGATAGACAAGGTCCCTCGAGGATGCAACATAAGATACGTCCCAGGGTGTCCTGGTTTTCCGGCCCTTCAAGAGTTTCAAGGGTTGGATTTGTTGGTCTCCTCTGGCACGCAACACGGTCGTCACCCCCCAACTCTGGATAATACGATGCCATGGTTTCACCCCTTTGGTCTCAGCAGGCCTGGACAGCTGCGCCCGCTGTGGTGGTTCGTTGGTTCGCTCCCCCCCGGGGTGACGCTAACGATCGTACGGCGTCGGGTGGGGCCTGGACCCCCCCCACATGATGGTGTTCGCGAGCGTACTCTGGCGATGGCTGCAGCGCACTTCCGCCCCGACGTGCACTTGCGCCCAAACCCACCGCAGCTTGGAGTTTCGGGCTCCCTCCCCACAGGTCCGAGTTGCACTGGACGTGGACAGAGTTCTGGCCCCTGGAGGCTCGACTCTCATCCATGTCCAGTGCGCCTCGGCCTTGCGGCGCCCCCTCCAAGGAAGTCCAAGACGCTTTGGATCTGGATGTACATCTTGCCCGCAGGAGGGGAGGGAGGAGACGGGAGGAGAAAGAGGAGAGGGAGGGCAGGAGGCGGGGCTGGGGCAAACCAGGGCTCGGACTGCTCTCTCCGAGGAGCAAGGACCAGCATCTTCTGACCGTCCTGGCGGCGATGCGCTCCAGGATCTCCAGGATCTTCCCAGGCTCCGCGCGACCTCCCGAGGCCATTCGTTCCCAGGTTCTATGATTCCGCAACCTGTGGAGCGCACCCTGAGCCAGTCGTGCCACGACGCCAGACTCGTCGGATTCTGGCGGGCCAAGCCTGCCTGCGTCTAGAAGACCACTATCTGGGGGCAAAGCCACATACCGCTCTCACGTCCTAGCCAAAAGCGTCTGTGGACTCCTTGGGTGCCGTGACGTCCACAGACTTTTTCAGGGAGGATGCGTCTATGGACCACGTGGCCGTTGCGCTCGGCGCGGTGCAGGGTCGGAGAGCGGGCAGATCCGTCTACGGCATGTTCCTCTTCTAGAGCAGGTCCCACATGGTACTTCAAGTACTGCAGATTTCGTAATAAAAGGGAGGGGGTCTGGACCCTCCAAGACAAGCCATTTCAGACCTCCCCCGTGGGAGAACCCTCCAAAACATCGTCCCCAGACCCCCCCAGGCCCTCCAAGATAGCCTGGAAGAGACCCCCGCCCGAAATGAGACCCCCCTCCCTTTATTACGAAATCGGGAGTACTTCAAGTCGGATTCTTGGGTCTGCTCTGAACTTCTCGTTCAGAGGTGGCAAGGGCTCGAGGCCGCGATGCTTTCGTTCCCGTGTGTTCCAGGATCTCCCGCGGCTCCTCTCGCGCGGGCTCCGGGAGCCGAGGGCCGCGGGGCGCGTGCTCCAGAACTCCTGCAACGCATCCTTAGCCGACGCGTCATGGAGGAGGAGGAGGAGGAGAAGGAGGAGGAGGAGGAGGTCTTTCTCGTCCTACCCCTGGCGGCGCTTCTGGCGCTGCCCTTGCGCCGAATTTGGAGCACCCGCGTTGCCAGTGGCGGGCTGTTCTTCAGTCCCAGGGCTTCCTGTGAGGGTCGGGGGCGACGTCGGGCTGCTGTGGTGTGAGCTGGTGGTGCCCGCCTTCTCGGGGAAACGAGGAAGCATGTACACACACACGCACACACACACCGGGATCTCGTGTACGCCAGGACCCTTTTCCCCGTGCGAGTTCCAGTGCGGGGCCAGACAGCCAGCGCCAGTGCATAGATATACATATATATATACAAGACTGCATTGGCGCTTCGCGCCATGCACCTTGGTCCTTCAACCCTTGCGCGCGTTGGCGTCTAGCGCGGCCCTCCACGGTCTTTGAACCGCGGTTGGTTCGCGCCCAGTTCCCGGACCTGCACCTTACTTGCTCGCGCCCTCGCTCTGCTGGTCCGCGCGCCACTGGGACTCCATGAGAATGTCCCAGCGGACCGATCAGCGGCGATGAGAGCGGCCGTGGAGGCTCCGGAAATACAAAACGTCGGACAGAAGGGGCGGGAAAGAAGTGGAGGACGATTTGGGGAGGCGCGGCGAAGGGAGGAATATCATGAGGTAAGGTAAGGTAAGGCACGCATTGGGGCGGCGTGCTGTCTCGACTTGCGCATGGGGGTGAGACAAACGGAGATGCCTTGCGATCACACATGGAAACAGACCAGGGGGCTGCGGCTCCAAGGACTGCCAGATCATGAGGAGGAAGAGGAGGAGGGAGAGGGATAATGAAGGTGCCGTCGGAGGAGGGAAATGCTAAGGACATCTACCGAATTCCGGGGAAATGTGCCGAACCCCGGGTTCGCAGCCGATTTCCCGGGAATTTGGTTGCGAACCCGGGATTTCAAGCATTTTGGTGTTTTGCGTGGGATGCCACTGTCTGGCAAACAACGGAGCAGCGCAGCGAAGCCGTTCCGGAGGTGGCGGTCAAGTGGGGCGATTCAGCAGTTTTGAAGCCTCTTGGGGGGCCGTTTTGGCTGCCTTTTGGAGAGCCATTTTGGGGCCTCGTGGGTTCTTTTTGGGAGTCCTCGGGGCCTTTGGAAGCCTCTTGGGGCCTCTTGGGGCCCTCCTGGGGCCTCCTGGGGCCCACTTGGGGCGGAAAGTTAGATGTTTGAACTTTTGATCGCCCTGTGGGGGCTCGTTTGAAGCTTTCTCGGGGCCCTCTTGGGCCTTCTTGGGCGCCTCTTGGGCTGTTTCGGGGCGCTCCAGAGCCGTCTTGGGGCCGTGTTGGGGCCGTTTTGGGGGCCCCCCGGGCCATCTTGGGGCGCTCTTGAGGGCCTCTAGTTCTGTCTTGGAGCGTCGGAAAGCTAAAATGGCGAGAAAGCAGAAAACATCGAAAAACACATTGGACAATTGACCATTTCGGCCTCCCGGGGCCGTCTTGGGGGGCTTCTTTGGGGCCGCTTGGGGCGTCTTGGGGGCTCCTGAGGCTGTCTTGGGGCTATCTTTGGCGTCTTGGAGCGCTTTGTGCCTGTCTTGGAGCGCTCTTGAGGCACTCGGGACCGCTTCAATGGGCGTCCGGAGGGTCCCAAAGTCCCAGGATCCCAGGAGTCCGGTTTGGGGGGGGGGGGGGTGCGGGGTTTTGCGGCCGCCCGGGCTTGTAAAAATATAGGAAGAGGAATATGTATGTATGTATGTATGTATGTATGTATGTATGTATTTATGTATATATATATATAATATAATATATATATATATATATATAGATACATATATATATAGGTATGTATATGTATGTATGTATGTATGTATGTATATATATATATATATATATATATATATATGTATTCCTCTTCCTATGTTTTAGAAGCCCCGGGGGGGGGAAACCCATCCCCCCCAAAAAAAAAACGGATTCCCGGGATGTGGGGCTTTGGGACCCTCCAGACGGGCCTCGAAGCGGCCACCGGGCCTCACATGGCGTTTTGCCAAGCCTTCCCAGCACACCTAGGGCGATCAGGGGGGTCATCGGAGACGTCCCAGAGACCCCCAAGACAGCACAAGAGCGCTCCAAGAGTGAACGACGTGACCTCAAGATGGCCCAAGAGGCCTCCAGGACGGCCCCAAATAGGCCTCCAAGAGCACTCCCAAAAAGGCCCCCGAGGCAAAAACCATACATTTTCTGTAGGTTTTGGTTAATTTCAGGGTTCTCCTCTTTTCAGCTTCCCGACGCTCCAAGACGGCGGTCTTCTGGGCGTCCGAAGCCGCCTGGGAGGCTCCGAAATCGCCCCACAACCATCCGAAAGGGTTTCCAGGCAGTCCAAGAGAGCCCGAAAACGGCACAACACGGGTCCAAGATGGCCCTCAGAGAGCCCCATGGCGGCCCAAGATGACCCAAAGACACCCTCCGAAGAATTCCAAATCGTGATTCGGTCGTTCAGGGAGACCGCGGTTGGAGGCAGGGTGGCCCGAGGAAGCCCCCAGAGGCCCCCAGAATACGCCCAGGAGGTCTCCAGAAGGCCTTAAGAAAGCCTGAAACAACTTTTGTGAGGCCCCTCGAGGCTCTCCAAGGAGGAGCCTCCGCAAGAAAGAGCTGAGGAGGATGGGGAGAATGCGCAGGGCATGGCGAACATAAGGAAAAAGAAGTATGGAGGAAGGAAAACGAATCACATTATCATAGCGGCGATGCCGGAAAAAAGGCAACCAGGAGGTATCGCTAAATTCTCGGCTCGACCTTCGTGCTATTCCGCCTGCATACCACACTTCAAGGACCAAGGTGCATGGCGCGAAACGCCACTGCAGTCTTGTATGTATATAAAAATAATCATATATATAGTTTATATATATATATATGCCGAATTATCTCTCTATATATTTATATATAGATATGTATATCGGGTTCGGCTCCTCGCTTCTCGTGCTTCGCGCGCGGGGGGAGGGCGGCGCTGCGCCGACCTCGGGGGCCTGCGCGGTGCTCCGAGAGTCTGCCGCTGCCGGCTTCTGCTCTTCTGCCGTCGCGGGCGGCGACCGCGCCCGCGTCCACTCCCTCGCTGTCCGGGCACCGAAGCGCGGTCCCGAGTAGGGGGCCACATGCGAACCCTACCCCTACCCCCCACCATTTCTGAGGGGGAGGGGGGGGGTCACTTCGCTCGGGAGCTCCCGAACGAGGTGACCCCCCCCCCCCCCCCTCAGAAATCGTGGGGGGTAGGGGTAGGGTTCGCATGTGGCCCCCTAACCGAAGCGCGGTCCCGAGGGCACGGCAAGTTCGGTCGGTAGCAGATCATGGGAGCCTGGTACATCCTCTTGGTTCCCGTCTTTGGCGTCGTTTGGGGGTCGATGAGACGGCGCCGATGTAGCGTCGGCGAGCGTCGATCAGCGTTGACTCAGCGTCGATTAGCGTCGATTTAGCGTCGCTTCGCAAGAGCCGACAAGATGGTATGGGAGGCTCCCATGAGCTGCCACCGAAGGTTCGCGCCGCGCTGGCGTGACGGGGACCCCAGCGCGGGCGTTCAGCGTTGAACGCCGCCAATGGCCTTGCCGCAGTGTTGAGCGCAGGTCCTCCCTGTACACTGAGCGGCTTTGATAAGGAACACTTGCTTTTCAAAAGGGTCTCGGTCGTTCCGTACGTTCGCATGCGTTATCTATCTTGCTTTATGCGTTTTTTTTTATCATGCACCGTTCCTCCTGCGTGATTGCTTGGAACAAAGGGGGCTTCGTTCCTTACTTTTCGTTCCTTAGGTCAGGCCGATGACAGTGTCCTGCTTCCTCCCTCCCTTCCCGGCCACACCGTGGGGCGGTCTCCAGGGGCGAGGAGGTGGCGCTTCGGCCGTCATTGCAGAGGCACCAGCTCCGTCCACGGCCCCCGTCTTCCGAACGAAGAGCGGGGGGAGGAGGAGGAGGAGGAGGAGGAGGAGGAGGAGGAGGAGGGAGGAGGAGGAGGAGGAGGGAGGAGGAGGGAGAGGAGGAGGAAGGGGAGGAGGCGGGGAGGAGGGGAGGAGGAGGGGGGACCACGACGTGGAGGATCCGCCCCCTCGCGGCCTGACCCCCCCCGGCGGCGGCCCCGCGGGTGTATACAGACCTGCGGGCGAACTCCGCAAGGCCGCGCTAACGGCGATGCTGGTGAACGGCGATGTTGGGAATCTCATGTTTGTGACACCGAACTCGCGCAGAACAATCAGCCACGCGCAGAGGGGGGGGGGGGGGGGGGAGGGCTTCTTAGAAGCACCCCTGCTCTTAGAAGGCGCGGGCCTTATCTATAGATGTGAGGCCCGCGCCTTCTGAGAAGCAGCCTGCTTCTAAGAAGCCCTCCCCCTCCCCCCACCCCCTTCTGCGCGCCGCCAAAACAACCTGTAGGAAATCACGAACCACACTCTCCTACATTGCAGATGTGCAAAAAAAATATCGAGAGAAAACGGCGCAGCAAGTGGTAGGAAAACACGAACCACCATGTCCTACAATTGGGTTGGCCACGAACCACTCTGGACGTGGCCACGCGGGCCCTGGTGAGGGCTGAAGCTGCACTGGCGGTGGAGCAAGGTGTCGTGACGGCCATTGTGGATGTTGAGAAGTGTTTCGACCGCATTTGCTGGCAGAGGCTCGTCTCGGCGGCGGCAAAGCACGGATTTCCGCGTCAGTTGCTCTCATGCGCTCTGTGCATGTACCGTGCGCCTCGCAGGCTCGTGTGGCAGCAGGCGACGTCGTATGCCGTTACGGTGTCTCAGGGCGTTCTTCCAGGTTGCAAGTTTGCCATGGCGTTTGTGCAGCTACGGATGTTGGCATCGGTGGATGATTTCGTCGGCACGGTCGGAATCGGCATCCCCGCTCAGGTGTTTTTTTTTCTCGTTGGACATATTCGCGGATGGTTTGACTCTGCAAGTGGTGGCCAGACGTGCGGATGTGTGCAGGATCGCCACCGATGCGGTTGCCTTGCTCTGTGACACCCTGCAGGATCTCGGCCTCCCCGTGGCGAAGTCGAAGGCTCTCCTCACCGCGTCCGACGACTCCGTAGCCCCCGCTGTGGCTAGGCTGTTGCGGAGGTACGGTTTTCAGGCCAGGTCCTGGCTGCAGGTCTTGGGACTGGAGGTGGCCGCGGGCAAGACTGTTCATGCTCGTGTGCTTCGAGGTCGTGTCGGAGGCGTACTGAAGCGGGCAAGGCACTTCAAGAGGCTTTGCAAGCTTGGGGTGAAGTTTAGACAGGTTCCCAAGGCAGCGGTCGGCCCTGCTGTTACCTACGGTTTGGGCATTTTGGGCGCTGGACCGCACCTGGTCAAGCGTATGACCTCACTGGCAAAGCTGGGCTGGCGCGCCATTCCTTCTGGGGCGTCACACTGGATCGCTTCGAGGTTGGAAGGTGATTTTGAATCTCAACCTGCGACCATGGCCATTGTTGGGCCTGTGCACAACTGGGCTTTATTGATTCAGTCAGGGGAGGTTGACCACTGCACGTTGCAGACGGCTTGGCGCTCTCAATACTGGAAGGTGGCCTCGGTTGACTGGCAGGTGAGCTGGAAGCTGGTGTCTGGCCCAGCAGGAGCTTTTGCGCGGTCTATGACCTTCCTGGGCTGGACAGTCTCCTCAGCATTTCGAGTCCGTACTCGTGGTGGGTTACTATGGACTTACGCGAGGTGGCCCCGTCTGGGGTCAAGTGGCTGGCGCTGAAGGACTATGAGGTCGCATGCTGGTACCAGTGGGCGGCGAGGCCTGAGGTGATGCCCGAGCTTGATGGCCCGTCGCACAAGGACCCTGCTGGTGCTTGGTTGAGTCCCATACGTGCGTTACTAAGCCCTGGCCCCAAGGCCAAGCGATGGGCATTGGAGCCGCTAGCTCGGGCTGCGCTGCGTACTGCTGTGGTGGTTGGCCATTTCACGCAGGAGCGCTTGCACCGACACGCTTACGCTCATTCCCCTGAATGCAGGAACTGCCCTGGTGTGGAAGGTACCGCCCACCACAGGTACTGGCAGTGCCACGTGTTTGATGGCGTTCGAGAGTACGCGGTGTCGGAGGCCACCCTGGATGCGGCAAAAGGAGCGCCGCCTGGTGACTTGCTCTATTCGCGTGGGCTTTACCCCAACTCTTTTCTTCCTGCCTTGCCGCCCAGGAATGGCTCTGGAGTGTGGTGTTATGATCGTGGAGCTCGGACCCATGAACATTTTGTCGTCGCAGGATCGGTGTTCACTGACGGGTCATGCAGGAAGTTGCTACACTGGGACGAGGCGGACCGCGCGGGTTGGGGTTTCGTGGCGGTGGGAGATGCGTGCTACTACGGTGCGGTATTTGGGCCGCTCCCTGGCCGTCGCCAGACGTCCGCTCGTGCTGAGTTGTTCGCAGTGATTCAGGTGCTGTCCGTCGGTGTGGCCCCGCTCCATGTCTTCGCGGACTACATGCCTGTGCTCGAGGGATTGGCGCGTGGCAAGCGCTGGCGTCTAAACCCGAGGCGTGAGAATGTGGATCTGTGGCGTCGCCTTCTTCACCACTTGGATGACCATGGAGGTTTCTCCGTTTCTGGAGACCTGGGGTGTCCGATTCGCATCTCGTACGTCAAGGGCCACTCCTACGAGGACTCCTGGCATCGTCGGTGCAACGATTTGGCTGACCAAGCGGCTAAGAGGGGTCGCCAGCTGCACGACCTTCCACAGGCCATTGTCAGGAGCTACACCGACTCGCTCAGCACGCTCAGGTCGGTCGCGACCTGGATTGCAAACTCATCCAGGATGATTTTCGACGGCACCGTGGCGCCCGACCGCGTGGACGTCCCGCGGAGGCGGGGCATGGAGCTGCGCGGCCGCTGGGCGCAGATGGCCGCGCCAGGCGCTGCAGGCAGCGGCGCTGGGGGTGCGCGGCGCGGCTCGGGAGCGCCCGCAGGCGGGCAGGCCTGCCCTCCTCAGCTCCTGCATCGAGTGAGGCTGAGGGGCAAGACGTATAGTTGTGATCGTTGCTCCGCTTACGCGGTAACGCCGAAAGGTGCTGCGAGGCTTAGGAAGAGTCTTTGTAGGGTCGCGGAGGCGGCGGCCCTCTGGGGCCTCGAGGGTGTTTCGCCTGAGCTGTCCTTGACTACGGCCCATGCTGGGCCGAAGGGCCCTGGCGGGCCGCGCGGGAGCGTCTCGGGCTCCCCCTCGGAGGCCAGCCCTGCTTTGGAGCTTCGAAGCCTCGAAGCCTCAGGAGAGCCAGAGAGGCCGCCGCCCATCGCGACCGAGGGTCTTGAGCGGTCCCTGGCTTTTAAGCGGGTGAGGTTTCGAGTGGATGGTGAGGGGGAGGATCAGTTGGATGCTGAGCTGGGGGAGGCGTGTCGGCGCGCCAAAGAGGCACGCTTCCTGGCTCCGCAGGAGCCCCCCCCTCCACCACCCATTCCCGCTCCTGCCAGGATGGAGAGGGACCGCAGGGCAGGTGGGCCCTTGGTGGGCCCGCGTCCGAAGGCGCCTCGGACGGCTGCTTCGCCCTCTTTGGCTGGTGGTGTCGGGCCTGTTGGCTCGGACGGGCTTGCGGGGCCTCCGCCTCGCAAGCGCCCTCGGACCTCTGGAGGTCCTGGGGCGCCTTCCTGGGTTGCGCGGGACGCCGCCCGACCTGAGGTCCCTCTCCCCGCTCAGGGCCCTGTGGGGCCCAGTAGCGCTAGGGGCCACCATATTAGTCTTGCTGGCCAGACCCTTGCATTCTGCCACCGCTGCGGTGCCAGGGCCCAGCCGTCGGCCCCTCGTTCCCGCTTTTGGGGCCAGTGTGAGGGTCTTGCATCCAGCAAGGACGCCACGTATTTGAAGCGCCTGGAGGCGGGCAAGGATCCCCTGTCTGGTGAGTGGCGGGGGGAGCCCCGCCCCCTCCTTCCCACAGACGATGCCTGCTTCTGGCTCCGTCTGCGGTAGTCTGAGGTTGCGCCTGAGGCTGTCTCCTGTCTAATCGTCGGGTTGCGCGCCCTCGGCCTTTTTTTCTTTTTCTTTGCCCCTCTCGTCTGCTGCTCTGCGCACTCGTTCGGTCTGGTCGTACCCCCTTCTTCTGCTCCTCCTCCTCCTCCTTCTCCCTCCTGCTCCTCCTCCTCGATCCTCGATCCTCGATCCTCATCGTCCTCCTCCTCCTCCTCCTCCTTCTCCTCCTCCTCGACCCTCGTCCTTCTCCTCCTCTTCCTCCGATCCCCCTCCTTCCCCTCCCCCTCCCCCTCCCCCTTCCTTTCCCCCCACAAAGGCCCCGGGCATGCCGCCGCCGCCGTGACCACTGGCGACAGCTCCTTCTCTGAGGCCGGGGCTTGTGACACATCCACCGCGCAGGGTCCGTCTCCGAGGAGGAAGCGGTACCCAAAACTCTACGCTTCGCCCGTGTTCCCCTTGTTGGGCCTCCTGGCAGTCCCTCGTCGCCACCGCTGGATTCGCCTCGAAATCTTTGTTAGAACGCACCCCAGGAGAGGTCTGGGGAGTAGCGGTATTGGTTCCTCTTGGTTTCCCCACCGTCCATTGCGGTCGTGTTGGTCCGATTCGATTTCGAGTCTGGCTGGCCCGATGCCTTTCGATTCCAATGGTCCGATGGTCCGACGGGGTCCGATGCGGCCCGACGCATGCATGGCGCTGCTGTGCATCTTGGCGCGCCCGAGCCGATCCGATTTCGGCGCCGTGCCGATACAGCCCGATATGACGCACATTCCTATTCGTATCGATGTCTTGATTCGGTGCTAGTTAGAGCCCCGAGTCATCAGGGGTAACTCGGGTCAGGGCTAACTCGGGTTCGTTTTTCGGGAATCCGAACCCGAGTAACCCTGGGCCCGAGTTGCCCCGGATAATTCGGGCGTCCAGAGCCCCAACTCATCAGGGGTAACTCGGGTGAGGGCTAACTCGGGCTCTTTTTTCGGGAATCCAATCCGGAGTTACCCCGGACCTGAGTTACCCCGGGCGCCCAAGCCAGCGGATCTCGCAGGCAGGCAGTGGATTTGGATATCCTCTCATTCGGGCCCCCCCTGGGGGCCCAGAGAGGTCCATCTCTGCTGCGCTCCTGGGGTCCTGGGGGCATCGGCTCTCCATGCGGTGGATGTAGGCAGAACGTTCGGCCTCGGGACTTCTGGGGCACCGTGCTCAACATCTCGAACAACAAAAGCGGGATTTGCACACACACTCAGGCCGGACACGTCCCTTTTACAGGCGGAGTAGTCAAGAATAGGCCACCAATAGTCCGGGGATGAGTATTCTTCTTCTTCCAAAATCCGCCTGCAGGAGGACACGCCCGACCTCAGCATACACTGTCGGAAGTCCGCGCGGATTTCTTTGGTCGGCGCTCGCCCCCTCCCCGGCGGCGCCTCCGGTGCAGCCCCCTGTCGGAGCCTGTTTTTTTATAAACTCTGGCAAGTTTACTTGCATGGACGGGTGGGGGGGGGGGTGCTGAGCCTGAAGCAAGCCCGGGGGCGGGGGGCGCGGAAATCACGCAAGTCGAAAGGCACTTGCACGCTAGTATTCGCTTGAAGAGGGGCGAGGGGGGGGGGGGGCGGTGCGAACGCCATGCAAGTAAACTTGCCTGAATCCAAAAAAAACAGGCTCTCGCGCTTGGCGCGCGCGGGGGCAGCGGTCAGCAGCCGGCTCGGCGCCAGCCTTCGTGGCATTCGCGCGGACCTCCGAAGATCTATAGGCCTCCTGGATGGGGTCGAAGTATCGATCGGGTGGGCCCACAGTCGGGGGCGGAAAAGAGGGGGGTGATGACTAGGGGGGGGGGGATATCATGGCGGGGGCCATGATATTTCCCCAGATCTCATGGCGCCTCTTCTTATTTCATTACGTCCCTGGCCCCCCCGCTGTGCCGCGCACATGCCGCCGGTCATGATTTGCACCCCCCCCTCTTGGACACCCCCCTCTTGGCCGCTCCCGACAAAGGGGATCCAGCGACAAGGGGGTGGTGCAATAGATTTAAAGCAGTAGATTTGTGGGGTTGCAAGACATCTGGGGCGTGCAATACATTATACTTGCAGTGCAGTGCAATACAATTCTCTGGCGAAATACATTTGCAACACAACTGCCCCAAATCTATTGCACCACCCCCTTTCAGCTGGACCCCCTTTTGGTTTACACAAAATCGAAGAAGAAAACACGGCATAAACATATACTTTTGGCGCTTCGCGCGGATTTCTTGGATCGGCGCCGGGCCCCCCCCCCCGGCGGCGCCTCCGGTGCCGCCCCTGGCGCGGATCCAAGACATCCGCGCGGAGCGCCAACAGTTTATGCGTCTACCGTTGTTTATTCCTCTAGAGTAGAAGGGGTGGTTTGGTAATAAATCATGGGAGCCCAGTATACCCTCTGCATTTTGATATTAGCATCGGTTCGGGTCGATTAGCGTCTGGGAGTGGTTGAGATAGTAGTGTCGGTTACCGTCGATTAGCGTCGAATTAGTGTCGATTGTCGTCGACTTAGCGTCGATTAGCGTCGATTTAGCGTCGACTAGCGTCTTTTCCCAAGAGCCGACAAGATGGCACGGGAGGCTCCCATGAGTTGCCACCGAAGGGTCGGAGGATCGCGCCGCATCGCCGATGCATCGGCGATGCGGCTCGATGTGGAGCCCGAGTTTGTCCACGCCGACGTCGCCAGTGCTTCACCAGCGTTGCCGGCGCATCGCCGATGCATCGGTGATGCGGCGCGATCTTCCGACCACACCTGCTCTGACCCGATATCTGGGAGGCCTCTAGAATTAACTCGGGCCTGTCTCTCTACAAGAGGAGTATCTCAAGCAATATTCTAAAACATAGTCTGGGGGCGAAGTTTTGACTGTTTTTGATTTTTTGTGGGTACTTTCTGACCATTTCTGTTGTTTCCAAAATCCGCCTGTAGGGGGACACGCCCGACCTGACTCTAGAAGTCATGTGTAGGTCTCGTGTTTTTGCTCTTCGGGCATAGTTACCGGCGGCCTGGGCTCGGGCATCCTGTGCCTCCCCTGGGCCGCGGCGGGCGCCACCCTGGCCCCGGCCGTGGCCGTCGTGGGCACGGTGCTGGCCGTGAACGCCTGGACCGTCTCGATCCTGGTGGAAGCCGCGGAGCGGAATCAGGTCTTCGACATTAGGTGAACGAGCAATGACATGAGCATAGAAATTCGGAGGTCCGCGCGGGTTTCTCGGATCGGCGCTGGAGCCCCCCTGGCGGCGCCTCCCGCGCCGCCCCCTGGCGCGTTTCGCGCGCCAGGGAGGGGGGTTCAGCGCCGATCCGAGAAAGCCGCGCGGACCTCCGAGTTTTTATGTTTATGCCATTGGTCGTTCCCCTAAACATTGGCGGGATCCTGGCATGCCTCCCGGGGTCGATGAGTTCCCGCCTGCAGGCGTTCAGCAACGTCACCATCTTCGAAGAAACGAAGATGCCCTACGCACATGAACTTTTGGCGCTCCGAGCGGATTTCTTGGACGCGCGCTGGGCCCGGCCCGCGACGCCTCCGGCGCCGTCCTTGGCGCGTTCCGCGCGCCAGAGAGTGGGGTCCAGCTTAGATCCAAGACATCCCCGCGGAGCGCCAAAAGTGCATTGTGTTGGCGTTTTTGCTTCTCCTGCATCTGGGTGTCGATGTTTCTGTGCCTCGTGGGCTACCTCGTCGTGATGTTCGACTGCGCAGAGAAGGCGCTGCACCGGGACCTCGAGGCCGCTGGCTGGAGGCCGTGCGTGCTGGTGGCCGCGGGTGCCCTCGTGGTGCCGCTGTGCTTCCTGGACCCCGGCAGGCTGGCGTTCGGGTCCGCCCTGACGATCGCGGTGAACGTGTTCATCTTCTGCCTCATAGCGAGCGACGCCGCTGGCAAGAGGTTCAGTGGAGGAAAGGGCACCCATGCCTCTACCCCTCCCTTGCTTTCCCCTCTTTGGGCCTCCTGGGAGGCCCTCGTCGCCACCGCTGGATTCGCCTGGAAATTCTGGTCAGAGCGCGCCCTGGGAGAGGCCTGGGGAGCAGCGGCATCGCTTCTCCAGAGGTGGGGGCCCGCCGACCCGACCCTGCCCTGCATCCTGCGCGTCGGGAGCGGCACGGTTGCCATGGTCAGCACGATGATGCAGTGCGTCATCATCCAGATGTGCGTGCTCCCGATGTACCACGACCTCCGGGGGCGCTCGCCGAGGAAGTTCTCCCACGTGATCGGCGTCAGCTTTTCCGTGCTCTTCCTGCTCTTCACCGCGTTCTCCGTGGCCGGTTCGGTGGCGTACGGGCCGGCAGTGCGGTCGAACGTCCTGAAGAACCTGCCGGAGGGGGCACCGGGAACCATCGCGCAAGCGCTCATGGTGCTTGCCATAGCAGCAGTTTATCCCATCATGCTGATGCCAATGGTCGCGCCCATCAAGACTTCGGCTAGTCTTGCACGATATCAGAAGCCCATCACAGTTGTCATAGGGGTCTGTAGCGTTGTTGTGGCCTGCTTCGTTGACGACCTCGGTGCCTTGAACGTAGTGAACGGCTGCCTGTGCGTGGGTGTCTTTGTGGGTGTGATCCCCGCTGTCGTGGGCGTCTTCTTTGCTGACCAGACCCGCGCGGTCATGACTGCCCTGGCCACTGGGTGTACGCTGCTTGGTGTGCTCGGGTTCTTTTTCACGGACAACTATTTGGCTACGCTGCGCGACGATCCGCCCCCGCGCCATGGGTAGCCGCGCAGCTGCTGTGCAGCGCGGCGCGGATGTTTTGCCCAGCGTGCCTCTTCTGGGCCTCTTTATGAGTACTTTTCGGGTGCTGTGTCGGGCCCCCATGGGTGCCTCTCTTGAGCTCCTGGCACCTGCTGCCCCTCTTCCTCGCCCCCCTCCTCGCTGTGCTCATCCCCTCCTCCTGTCCTTTTTCTCCTCCATCTCCCACTTCTTGCTTCCCTTCTCGTCCGTGCTGCCCTCCCTCTCCATCCCCCGCGTTTCCTCGATGTAACGCGTCCTGGTCTGGCCCCCTCTTTTCCCACCTCAAGTGTGCAACACGACTCTCTCCCATGACTTCTGCCTTCGAAGTCACCGAGGGCCGCGCCTTTCCGCAGGGTGCGGCCCGCCATGGCGGAGGACATGTCTCGCTGTCAATCGGCACGCCTCTCAAGGCCCTCCCTTGCCCCATGCATCCTTGCTGTTGCCCCGCCTCTACCTGTGCAGTTGCCGACGGGCCAAGCACTGCAGAGCAGCGACTCAGTGTATCGCGAGGGGGTCGAGAGGAGCAGGATGTCGGATGTGGCGCTTTCGAGCCTCCTTTCACAATGTGCAACATCAGCACGCATCACTCTCCTCTCTCCCCTGATGCTGTCTCCGCCGATC